GTGTGTGTGTGCTGAACGCTCCTAATGCCCTGAGGCCTGAACGGGGATGAAGGCCAAAGGCAGATAATGACTTTGTTGACAGAGGACATGAAGGGAGGGAAATCGGAGACGTGGAAAACGGGCAGGGGAAGTTTGAAACCTTTCGCCTGTTGTTTTCAAACTAACAGATGACCACGTACTGTCTAATCAGTGCCCTTATTAATACTTAAATGTAGAGGTCAGAGTAGGATTCGACCCAGTCTGACCTGAACACTGGTGTCACACCACTGACCTCCTGTGGACACTGTTCATCACTACGGCTCATTGGTGGAGGAATTTTGATCAACTCGGTATTGATCGCATACATTGAACTAATCTCTAACGTCCTCTAAGGTTTGCACACGGGCAAAATTAGATAACCTTGAAGAGAAACACATAATCCTGTAATGGTAGGCATCTAACCCAAATAAACTTTCAACATGACCTCTACACCTGTCAGGTGACCGCAATTAACCTGCTTTACAAATTAAAAGCTCTGAAATAAAAACACAAACACAGGATTTTCACAAAGGACTTAAAATTTATAAATATTCTCTGAATCGAACATTAAATCAGTCGGGATGTTATAGAATTCTTCAGAAAAACAAACAAACAAAAAAAAATTCCAAGAGATTTTTCAGAGAGCAAGACAAAGTGACAATAATCTGATACACACATTGCTTCTCTACTCCAAAAATATCTAGACCTTTCACTATAATTTGTAACCCCCCCCACCCAAAATATACGCCAACAATAAGCATCAATACAGACCACACAGAAAGCAGAATCTCAGGGGTCGCTCTGGGTACTTTTCTTTCTGTGGACGCGCTTCCTGTGAGGCATCAGCACAGGTTACTCAGTGTGTGACCCCGCCACTGTGGACGCCACGTACAAACTTCCTGCCCTGTCTTGTTGCCATGTTAAAGAAGGATGCGACTGTGCCTGTGGGGTGCTTGGAGGAAATTCACTTGAGTAGATGGCTACACACAATCTGGCTGGAAAACGTGGGGCAGCCTCCTTGCTGAGCTTTCTTGATCTAATTTTCCAGGAAGTCTCTGCATCGCTTCTAGTACTCAAAAAAAAAAATGGGGGCAGGAAAAGAAGGAAAAGCTGCTGAAAGGGTTTAGGATGTGGCCTTGTGACTCCTCTACATGCTTCTCCAACACCTGATCCATGCCCTCTAGGGGCCAAATATGTAACAGCACATCTGGGAGAAGGGCAAGA